CTTGTAGTTTTCCTCTGTCCTCGCTACTTTGAGTCGGGCCATGACCACTTCTTTCGACACTAGACAGATTCGTAAAATAAACTACTGAAAGGCTGTAGTAGTTACGAATAATAGGAGAAGATACGATTGAGTCGATATTATAGTGTTCAAATTTGCCGGACAATTTTCCTCCAGACAGCGGTTTCCGAAGTTTGTGACAAGTCCACCGCCTCTCTTCTTCTTGTGTGCCACAGACTCGCTTTCATAAATAAATTTTACTCTTTCCATTCTAATGCCGCAATGAAGACTTAGTTCGGCTGGTCCTCAAGAGATCCCAGCTTGGGAACCATTGCTCCAAGTAGCAGCCACCTCTGTTTGGCTCACACTATCGTGCTGTCTCCACACAGCTTATTATGGGCAGTTCGTGTCGCTACGTGTGCATGGCTTGGTACTCAGTTAAGCACAATGCCCACTTTAGGTGTATCTTACATTGCCTCTAGATAGCAGCGCTTACTGTATTTTAAGCTTAGCATTTTGGTATAACTGTCGTTGAATTTGCACAGGTTTTCATCTGTTGCATTTGCGTATTATTAAAGATTTTAACTATTCACCGTTGACATTTCAACGAACCCTAGCACAGGCTAAGGCAGCCAGAGACTGGGTTGACCCTGGGGGCCATAGTGCTTCTGGAAGGATTAGGTCAATTGAAAAATCCAGTGACCTCATCGGTACTCGAACCCGTGACCTCCCGGCTTGTAGCATAGTGCCTCAACCAACTACGCTACCGCGTCGCCCCTGATAAATAAAACGACGTTAGTGAACTCGCGTGTCGCACTTGGAATCCGAGCGTTTTGTGCACAGGGTCTCTCAGTCGGTGGAGACAGTCTACACTGAGGTGCGTGTACAACTGGACACTTAGCACTTTGCGAGGCCGTAAGTCTCGCACAAATAGCATCGAATGTTACGATGCGGGGGGTGAAGCTGACCACTCACCTCAATTTAGTTCCGAGGTTAAGAATACGTGGATCTGTACCGCCACCCCCATGCGTCTTCACAGCGTGGTACATAACTAAGCACAGGGACAACTATATGCTTACCGTCTGACGCCGTCTTGGGTGCCAGTTACTGACGGCGTCGCTAAGTAAGGGGCCTTGAATCCGGCTGCACGGCTCGACCACGCTCGGGTGGTGCCTGTAGGAGAGCCGCTGGAGCCCTTCCGGCACAAAGTTACGTAATCAATGCCAATGGCTCTGTCACGTGATGGAGTGACTATAGACGGGACTTGGATTGGTAATGGAATTTATTAGACACTTGCAGAACGTAACTACAAATAATTACGACAATCTCACTAAGTTACACGCTCCAAAGCAGCACACATAAAGCCTCCTCAGTCTTCAATAGTTGCTTGGTAGCGGCTTTCAACGGCGGATTTTACCCTTCCTCTGTTTTCCGAACTGCCCCTGGCCTCAGCCACGAGCTTCTCACATCTCAGAACTGCAGCTCTGAACTGACTCAGGCTAACTACTAGTCCTTATTATACAACCAGGGCACAATCCCGGCACGGACCGCTCAGAAAATGCCTCTCCCATTGCTGCGTTTTCTCTTGTTGCCGGGGAAACAACGTGCCCGCAGAGCTGTTCCATCTTAACGGCTGTCTTACTGTCGCCCGTTTGCACAGCCGTTACTTGGTAGTGGCCCTACATGTCACTGTGAGGATCAGTAAAACTACAGCAAGCCCTCATTATAACGAACAAAATCTGTCTGTGTGCAGTTGTGAATTTTGAGGTACTAAGAAGATTTTGTGGGGTTAGAAAACTATTTAAAATAAAAAAGCAACCCGAATATAACGATCTTCATGTAATCGCACTGAGCGTTTCTATGTCTGTTGCGTGTATCCTGTGGTGAATACCCCTTCAGTCGATTATAGCGGACGTCTTCGATAACGGACCCGCGGCACCCATGCACGGAAGAGGCTACATATCCACGGGAAGAACACAGAATTGCTAACAGTGTCAAGTTGTGTCTGTCCTTAACAAAGCACCACGCCATGAACACGCATCGCCTAGGCTCTAGATGGAGGCGACCGGTCAGCTTTACCTCCGCGGAAAGGACCCCCGGTATCCATTCGGTAGGCCCCAGAGCCGGTCTGGATGTTATGATGGAAAATATCTTGCGATTCCGGGGAATAAAACCAAAATCCGCCCATTGTCGAACCGGTAGCATAACCGAGGGAGAATGCTGACTTATCCTACAGTGTGCTGACAGTGTCTCGGCTCTTATCTCAGAGGCAAGGCGAAGTCCCCCAGTTCCGGCAAGTCGAGCCTGCCTGCGACAGTTGGTTGTGNACCCCCCCCCCCCCAGTGTTTAAAAATACTTGTAACGTCCACGGAATAATGTTGTGTTCGGCGTCCAGCCGAACTGTAGACTCCGTCTGTTGCGGGAACGGGCGTGCGCCATCATGCTCTTGGTTGCGTGGTCCGCCCCGTCATGAATATCAAGTTAGTAGCTTCGATCTATAATGTACTCGTATTGTCGCGTGTTGCAGTGACTCGATTTATTGACCACTTAAACTCAGCTCGTAATTACACTTAATTATATAGCGCCATCGCTGATCTCCACACTTCACCAAATCACACTAAGTATTTTCCAGCCCGCAGTGTCTTCACTGGTAGTTGCCTGGTAACGACTTCTAACAATGGCTATTCCTCTGCTTCCTTGTTCAAGTCGTTTCTGAAAGGCGGCTCCCTTCCAACTGCGTATTCTTGTCAGACACTTTGCGACTGACGGATTACCGCCAATCAGTTCGCCTTGCCTACAAGCCCCTTGAGTATCATGACCAGTAATTTTATTTTCAAACTGAACACTTACGATTATAGTCCTTATGTAACAGCCTTTCTGACGAGAGGATTGATGTGTCGTTTACAATTGCTGCTGGTCCTCGCCAGCGTAGTCATTCTCAGGCCCGAGTCCCGCAGGACTCATGACCATATTTTACTGTCTCAGATTTGAGATCCCTAACCTGGAGGGTCAGGCCCCCGTATTTATATCTCCCAGCCACGAGGTTCCTTTTCAGTCGCGTCATACAACCCGCAGGTCTACGACGGAGGCATTCGACCTGTCCCTTCTTCTAGTCAAAGTCATATTGCCACTGACTGTCAGTAAGTCAGTACGTCTTAGTGTCGAGCCCCATTTGGGGCTCATGACCAGATATTTATTACTGTTTGACAGTTGCGATCTTGTTTTTGTGGGGCGCCCTCTCACATGAGAGGATGGATGTGTCTATTGTATATGCTGCTGGCCTTTGCCAGCGCAGTCTTGCTTGGGTCCGAGTCCCTTGGGACTTGCAGCCATATTTTACTGTCTGAGATTTGAGACTTCCCTTTCCGTCGCCTACGGCTCGCAGGGTCACGGCGGAGGTATTAGACCCCGCCTCCACACCGGTATGTTCCTTCTTGCTTCATTTGCCCTCCCTATAACCCTTTTGCACGGACCCAGTAGAAAACAGTTTCCAACACATGCGTATGCGTTGCAGCGGGGAAGTGTTTACCGAGCTGTTGCCTAGAAACGGCTCTATACGCTACAGTATTTACGAGACCTGTACGCTGGTGGGAAGTGCAGCCATATTCGCACAGGGCTTCCCTGCCGTAAGGTTGGCTACACAACATGTGACGTTGCCATGGACTTTAGCTCAGGTCCAGGAAGCGGACCAAGCGATCCGTCCGATCGCGGCGCCAGTGTTGCCATATTGTACGGTCGCCAGCTTCCCAGTCGTGTGTGCTGAAGGGAGGCGTTCACAAGCTGATAGCCATTCAGCCCGCCGAGTCTGGAAGCCCTGCGTGGCATTTCGGAACATGTCCAGGCCACCTGCCTCCCAACCGCAGCGTGGGGGCCCACTTCACGTGAATATCATTGAGCTGACGGGAACTGAAGCTGGTCTTCCCGTAGCTGTGACTGCAGACCTTGGGGTACCGAGTTTGATGTACGCATGTCCACCGAATTGGCCTGCAAATTCGGATGTCAGGCGCTCCGGTATTTTGAAGGTCACACAAATGTTTTTATATGTTTAAGGAATCAGAATAATAACAAGTAATAAATACCGAAGGCGAAACCTTTGGTCCTGTGATTCTTGCTTACCATGATGTGAAGCGGTTGGGG